CAAATCAAAAACCATGAAAATTGGTCCAGCAGATCTCGAGTTATAAGTGCTGGAACACTTTTACACAACTCTCTTTTATATATTTATAGATATCTATAAATTTTAAAATATATTAATTTAGAATCAATTTTATCTCGATTTCTTTAGGCACAACGTCCGGAGAATACAGTTATGCAAGCTTTGGAATCGCTTAACGACTCGCAGGTGAATGATTTTCTCAGTGGCAAGACTCCCCTCAATCTTAGTATGCGTCTGGGTGATCACATGATGCTTATTCAGCTGCAACTGAGTACAGTTAATCCCGCTGGCGGCACTACTGCCGCAACGGCTGCCCTGCCACCTGTGATGAGCGGCAATAGTTCAGTTGGCGGCTGTAGTGGCAGTACTAGCTCTTCGCACTCAGCATCAAGCGGAGCCCTGGGCTGCATTTATCCAAGCAGCAGTGTTGGCTCCCATTTGTCTCATGCGCGCACCCGTTCCTCCAGCTATCGACTGGCCAGCGGACGCATTGGCAACGGCCATGTGCACAGCCACCAGCATCCGAGCTTGCAGCACAGCCATAACCATTACCACCATCATCATCATCACCATCACAATGCCACGGCATTGGCCGCCGCTAACGCTGGCGCACCATCACGAAAGCTCGACCAGGAGCGCTCCGGTAACAACAAAAGCAGTTGCAGCACCACCACCGAAACCACTTCAACCAGCTGCGGCAGCAACAGCAACAACAGTAGCAGCTGCTTGAGTGCTACTGCCGGAGGTAGCCGAATGGCTGACACTACGGCCGAAAATGGGCGCGGACATCATGTCTTTAAGACGTCCGATCTCAGCTCGTTCCTTAGCAAGCGCGACTACGAGAGTCTGCATAATATAGTGAAGAGCATAGCACCACGTGCTGCAGCAGCGGCCGCAGCCGCTGCAGCTAACCAGGCGTCCAGGCAAAAATCAGCAGCAGGAGTATCAACGGTACCGTCAAAGCCGCTAGTGGAGCAATCACCAATCAAGTCGCTCTCCAATCTCGTTTCGTCTTCCATCAAAACGACGGCCATCAAGAATATACACATTGCCCAAGACTCGGAGAGTACCAGCTCCTTACCTCTTAATATTGTTGGCAGCTCCAGTACAACGGCAACCAGCTGTGCTAGCGGTGGCTGCCAGCAAGATCCGATATCTGCAAAGCTTACCTCGTGCTTGTGCACACGCTTGGCAACAGCATCAGTACCATCTGTAGCTACAACACCTACAGCAGGTGCAACACCACTGCCTCCACTACCAACAACAACAACAGCACCACCGCCACCAGCATCAACACCCCCACCATCAACAGCTGCTTCAAGAACTTTACCCAATCTCTCCCAATCTCTTGGATCTCTCAGTCGTACATCAATTTGTTCTGGTACTGGCTCCAATTCCGGGTCCAGCTGTGTTGTGGAAAATTCGTTACATAAGACGGTCAATAATCCGATTACCGTTACACGCTCCAAGCATAGACACCACCATCACCACCACCATCATCATCATCATTATCATCATGCCGCACTTGCGGCTGCCGCAAGGCTTAAGTGTCAAGAGGCAACTCTCACGAAAAATGGAACCCCAACTGCAGCTGCGGCTGGCACCACCCGCACTAGTAGCACCGCTGAGTTAGACGATGCTGGATTGGCAGTATCGGATACTCGTACTTTAGCCGAGGCATCGCGTAATCTTACCCAGACGTTGCGAAAACTCTCAAAAGAGGTTTTCACGAATAAGATTGACTTGTCTGGCGGTGGAAGTATGGGTGTCGGCGCCGGTATTGGGGGCGGCGAAGAAACACCACGAAAAAGTGGCTCCGGCGCTGTCATTGAATCGATGAAGAATCACGGCAAAGGCATCTACTCAGGCACATTCTCAGGCACTCTAAATCCGGCGCTGCAGGATCGCTTTGGCCGGCCAAAGCGCGACATATCCACAGTGATACATATACTTAACGACCTGTTAAGTGCCACACCTCAATATGGTCGTGGCGCGCGTATCAGTTTTGAGGCACCATCCGGTAGCAACACTAGCAAATCCAGCATTAGCAACAACAATGGTAGCTATAGCAGCAACAACGGTTCCCCAATTGCCAGTTCCACTAATACTTCTTGTGGCAACGCCGCCGCGGCCAAAACAGCAGCTCCAACATCATTGCCCGTCGCACTACATAATAGCGTGCGTAGCAAATTGGTGAGCAAGAAATTATATATATTTTTAGATAAGACTACAGGGAAAATAACTGCAACCTAAAATTACTTTGAAAGAGTCCCAGCTATGTGAACAAAGTGTTCTTCTCTTGGATGTGTGAAGTAAATGAATCGAATATTCAATTTCTTTCTTTCCGTTTCAGTACTCGAACAAACCTCACAATTGCGCCAAATGTAAATCTCGCGCCCAACAGCAACAGGCGGCAGCAGTTTTGGCTGCTGGCAACTGTGCTTATGGCGAATGCAATGGCCACTATTTGGCTAAGGGTGGCATCTCTGCTGGAATCGCTGGCAGTCTCAAGTCATCTACACACGGTTGCTGCAACGATGCGGATATGTCTAGCGATGGCAGCACTAGCAATGCCGCAGCGATGGACAGCTCGAATGGATGCATGTGCCGTATTCGCGTAGCTAGCGGCGGCGGCGTCGGGCTCGACGACGGGCAACGCGATCACATGTGCCAGAAGTGCGTCGCTGACCTGGCCAATCTAAAAACCAAGTCTAAATTAGACCAACTACGTCTAGTTATGCAGCAGCGCAAGCAGAAGCGCGAAGAACGTAAGCTCAAGAGCTCTCCGTACGATGCCAATGCAGGAATTCTGACGGCAACTGTGGAGGCAACGCCGCAATATAGCGCTGTAAGTGCGCTGGTGACGACGCCGCTGCCGGCAGTCAAGACCAAGCACAACAGCAACAGCACAGCAACAACAGCAGCAGCTGCTGCTGCTGCGGCTGCGGCTGCAACCACTGCATCGCCCAGCGAGGTCTCTCCCAATCATATAGTAGAGGAGGTAGATACGGCCGCATAAGTAAAACTGCAATGTGCACCCTTTATAGCATTTATTAGTTTAAAGTTGCAGTTACACAAAAACAATAACAACAAATAAGAAACTTTGTAATTAATATCTAAGTTCTTTTTTTGTTTGTTTTTTTTTTTTTTTTATCATTTTTGTTTGTGTATGCAAACAAATGGTCTGAAATACGGGAGAACCACCTGTACCCCATCCCAATTAAAATACTTTATAAACTACTACTTATCACAAATCAGTCCTGATCCAATTCAACTGTTCGTTGAACGGAGAGAAAGAGCCGTTGAGCTGTTAAATTAATTTTAAGATACTTAACATGCATTAACATTATCGTAATTAACAAAATTATTAACATCATTAACTATTGATCAGTCGGCTAAACCGCAAAATTTAATATAAAACTCCTATGCCCCATCGCCTATACACTCCCCTGCTGAGTTAAGCGTTTTTTTAAATTTTTATTTTTTGTTTCATTTTTGTAAACTTAGTTTAGTGCAAATTTTGTAGTGTAAAATGAGGACTAAGATATGAAAAGCAAAACTCAAGCGAAAAAAAATTTAATAAAAGGAAAGCATATTGAATGCTTCTGAGATAAAAGCCAAAACGGCGGCAACTTTGGTAGCACTATAGACGTAGATTAACGTAGAATTTAATTTTAGACAAACATACATACACAGTAATCCTATTGCAGCTTAATGGCATGCTAACTTTTTGACAGCGCTTGCGCTACATTTAAACAGCACCGTTAACAAGGCGCTGTAAACTTTATTGGCCTTAATAGACAGTCACCTTTTTATTTGTGTTAAAATTTCGCAACGTTTTGTCATTATGATTATAATAATTATGATTTTTAATATTATTATTATAACTATAATTATAAACATCAACACCAACATTGTGTTTATTATTATTAATACTATACAAATATTTTTTGTCAAGCTGAAATTAGGCTGAAATAGAAATATGAAGATTTCAACGATTGAAGATCTTTCCAAGTCTTCGCACTATTAAATTAATTTTAAGATTACAAAGATAAATAAGTTATTCGTTTGTTTTAATTGAGTATTGCAGCAGATGAACTGATGCTTAAATAGAAAATTTGATTTATTTTCTTTCAATCCGATATATTAATTATTAACTATAATAACAAGAGCTCTAAAAAAATGTAGCAAAAGCCTTGCGGGAACTTTTTTTATATCAAAATATGAAACTCTTGATTAAGAGCAATGTTGGAATGGATTTCCATCTACACGTATAAATATATATATCTTAATACATACTATATATGTATGTGTCGAGAAAGCACTATAATTCCGTTTTGTTTTTCGTATTGCTGCAATGCACTTTAGATTCGGAAAAGTGGAAAAATCTGTTTTTTGTTCGCGTGAAATTTGATTATCTGAAATTAATTTTATCAAATGAATATAATTTACACTATGATTATTTTATTTCAATAAATGATTAGCTATGGTTTAGTTCAACACTGAGTTTTATTTAAATTTTCTTTTCAATCATTTGTATTTCTCATATATGTATATGTAGCTCATGTTAACGCCACGTAAGCTGTCTTTTTACGTTGTTTTTGCAATCCTCAGTATGTGCAATAAAAAAAAGAAGCAACACATATATATGTATTAAATACAAAATAAAGTCGTAGTACCCATGATACATTTCCTCGAAAGGCGTTATAGCTTCGCCTTTTTATGTAGGTTGGTAACATAATATAGTACCTACGCAATATCATTTTAAAAACAGTGATATTATATTTCAGTGTAATATTATAAAATAAAAGTCCTCCTAAAAGTCCTCCTACTCTTGCTTGCACCGTAGTGTCTAGAAATGTTCTTAAAAGTTGACTCTAGCAGACACCGGGTCATAAATGGTATGCAGGGTCAAAATAAGGTCAAGCAACTAAAGAGCAATGAGCATTCTTAAATACGGGGAAGCGTATCTAAAAAATCCCAGAGCTACACCAAGAGAAGCACATGCAAACCGTTCGTAGGGTCATAAAATCATGAAAATTTTGGCTTTAAATTCCTCACAAAAAGCTAAATGTTTAATAATAAAAGGGATGAATCAAACCACTTGATTTTTTATGTAAGCTGATCTTCTCAGATGAGACACACTTCAGATAAGGATCCACAGGTGTGGAGAAGACTTGGAGAAGCCCTAAATATGTAAATACAAAAAAGACTTAAGAACGGCGGCAGTGGGGTTGCATGACTGCTAATGGTGGGATGGACTAACATACCAATATTGACATCCTACAAATTTTAAAAGTAGCACAGAGAAACTTGGTTTAGGATGGAATTGGTACTTCGAACAATATAAGGACCTTAAGCGTAATATACCTCATTCATTGGAGGAGCTAGCACAGATTTCCGACATAAACCCAATAGAGAATTAATGGAAGATGGCTCAAATAAACATCCGAAAGCACCACATTGTAATTTAAAAAATTTAAAATTTACTGAGAGGAGCATTGTTTTCTCAATGATTATAAAGAGCACGTTTCTTTAAAATATATCAAGGGTACGAAGACAGTGGACAGTATATACATATAAATATGCTTATGTATATACATATGCATGTATGATGTGTAATTATGTGCCAATTGCAAGAAAATTTGCATTGAGCCTAAAAAAGTAAGAATTAGAGTAAAGTCGACAAATACCCACACTCACATATACACATCGACCAAATGGTATATTTTGACTTCAGGAAAATATAAAACTTTAATATGATATATTAAGTATACTAAGGTATTCATGTAACAGGTCAGAATCATGTAGGGTGGATTCACTGATAAATTGTAATTTACTATAAAAATTTCTTAATCTTAAATGAAAATGTATAATCGATTGCAAAGAACGATTAGGGTTGATATCTCAAAGGCGCAAAAGTTAGGGCTCGCAGAATTGGAATTCGTTAGCATTTCGCTTATTGTTTTGCTGTTTGATGAGGAAATAAGGACTCGGTTGGATAATTTCAGCATATCTGCATGAATTTCTAACAAAGTACAAAACCAAATTTAAAAAAAAAGGCAACATGTAATGTTTTATGTTATATGTAGCTCAAATATTTATGCACCCTCTAAATTTTAAGCAACATAAACTAAATGTAACTATAAATATATGCGCAACATTTGCTGAACATAAATTGAATCCAAAAATGACTCTAAAATAAATGTAATTAAGTTCTATGCATTTCTTTATAGTAGCTCAAATTTATTAAAGTCCTAAAAGAAACAAATAAAAAACCATCAAAAAAAAAAAAAAAAAATTTTTTTTTGTTAAATGGTTTAGTGACTATTTTGAGTATTTTTGTTGAAATCGAGAAATGTTTCATTGGTTAACACAAAATGTAACACATTATAAAAATATTATTAGCAAATTTATATGTAGCCCTTGAACATGCAACTTAGTAAAGCAAACAACAACCAATAAAGTGCATAACTAAATTAGAAAAAAAAACTTTTTTATATATGTACCCACTATTCTCGCAAACTTTTTAATATGGAGATTATGATCATTAGCAATAATATGGTATTGATATTCATACCCTACAAAATAAAATAAATACATACATATATTTATGTATGTTATATACCAATACCATCAGTGTAAGCCCATTCAACAAGGTGGAAAATCAGTTGATTACATAATTATTTCATGCTATTCATATAATATATGCAAATAACTGTTGATCGTTTCTCAATATCGGAAATGTTAGTGTTTTCGACTGACACTGATAAATAACTGAGAGAGTAACCAACACAATTAAAGAAAAGAAAGGTTAACAGTCGATTGCGATATACAATATATGGACTCAGTTCATTTTCACACTGCACTATGGGGAAAAGCCAAATTATCGGGTATAAATTAATAACTTGAAAGCTAAGCCAGATTTTTTGATCCGATTTTTTTTTATTAATAATGTATTCCTTCAAAAATATTTTTTTACGAAAATAGGAATTTTCTTCTTAATATTACAAATAAAATAATTATTTTCATTGAAATTAATTATTCTTAAAGAAATTGAAATTGATACTCTTCAGATTCGAGTTTCAGATCAGTCAGAAATATTGATCTGCGAAAATCGTCTTGGGCTCTTCAACAGATTTAATTATGCCTTCAACTTTACATAATACCAGACTTACAACTTCATTAGACAGGGAAAGGAGGTTCCCATTGCTCTATTCCAAATATAAGCGTCTGTCTGATTTGTAGATCTCCTAGTAAAATTCAGACGCCTATAACCTATGTACAGTATCATCCGCAGTCTGCCTAGCTCACACAATTATTATATATATATATATTTTTATAAATATTTGCTGTCATAGGCAGTCCAACTAGTTTTTGTTCCTGCTGAATTTCTTCTATTTGGTACTTATATATATATATATATATATATA